TAATTTGACTAAGTAATTAGCGCAACTATCCTGCCATATGGGTTGGTATTCACGGAAAGATGGGCCACAGCTTATGAAAAGTGAGCTAGAGAAGAACTAAATGGCTATTATATTAAGAACATGTTCGTGTGCGGCATTAACCTTAAAAGTAAGTCATACAGTCGGACATGGAAGGCGGTACTCTGTAGCGATATCCAATGAGCTGACAGAGCATGCTGTCGCGTTAAGGTCAACGAAAACCAAATGGCACAGAAGAAGCTCAGCTGGACAGCGTTGGAAGCAAAACCAGTTTTACGGTCTGCACGACCAGTCAAAAGGTTAGCCAGCTGGAAATGTAGCTACAAATGGAGGTACAGGATAAATGCAGAGCAGTTAGTAGTTGAAGAAATGTAAGGTGGTTTTAACGCGTTTGGAGGGTCATATTAGTGTAAGCAGCAGACAGCGTTGACACTTTAGCTACAATAGAAGTGAAGTGTGCTAGATGAGAGGTAAATAGTTAAATTGTTTGCAAGCTTTACAGAGAATTGAGAAGCCTACATCAAATCGTACTTCGGAGCTAATGGACCATTTATTTCGATAGTACCTGCTTAAGGAGAGTCATAACCTGTTACCGTGCAAAAATATTTCGGCAAAGAGCTGGGGTTTGGGACAACCTGCAGCGACTTATTTACGTTGTATTTCAATCGGACACGGCAGCGGTACTATAACGGGTTAATAAATGGTCCGGCAAAGCATTTCCGTCAGCGAAAGCCAAATGACAGCGGGGAGTTCAGACAGAGGGGTAGGAAACGAGACCAAGTTGGTGGACGCATATGTTCAGAACTGAAGGTGATCCAGGTGGAAGGGTAGTCAGAAGAAAAGGTAAGGTAGGAGGAGCTGGGTGTAAAGGAAATGATAGGTGTCGTTGGCGAAATTTTGGAGAGGCTTAGCAGGGCCAGCAGCTAAAATGGTTGATGACTTCATTATAATGTTATTGTAAAGGGACTAAATAAAATGAAGTAATAAAGGGGTTCTGAATTTGTTGCTGAGAGATGCCTACTTCAAGTTATAATGCCTAGCTAATTGAATCATTACTCAGAATTGGGAAGGAAGCAAAAGTTAGGGAATAGCTGGGCTTGCAGTCATGAAAAGAGAGATAACGAATGATTAATTGCTAACCATAACGGGCTGCGATGCAAACAGTTTTCGACAGGGAAGCTATGGACAACTGGAGGCGTTAAGGCGGGATATGTTCCAAATGGGTGCATTACTTAGCTTCTTGCGGTGGAATTCGAGAGTAGCGGCAGTCTTATATATGTAAGGTATAAAATCGAAGGTTGAAGTAGTACTGCGAAGGGATGGCCAAGGTGACAGCATAGCATACAGATGCTTGCGCAGCAATGAACAAGTTCATACGGACAGCATTGAAAGACAGGCCGGTTTAATGGACGCGCATGTCCAATCATAAAGGTAGCCCAGGTGGCCAGATAGTCAGGATTGGAAATAAGGCGTACATGAGAAGAAGGTAAACGTTAAGGAAATAGTAAAGGTTGCTGAGTCGTCTGAAATTTGACCGGTAAGGTCTCAGGGATCGGAAAGTAGGAGCCCATTTAGACGAGGCTAGAAGTACGGCTACCCTTGCTTACGCCTAAATATCAAGGCCGGAATGATAACAGAGTTTCGGCAAAAGGCTTCACGCCAACATGAAAAGGGATATAATCATAACTGTGAACGGTACCGGCAACCGCCTTGGGCGTAAAATAACAGAGCGTTTGGTCGGCAGCGACTAGGTCATTTACCGCCCAGAAGCTGGAAGGGGTCAGAAAGCAGGATAACCTTCAGATGGGACAGGAAATCCGACAAAAGCTACCTAACCCCCAAGTAACAATCGCGTACTCTCACATATCTTACGATTACAAACAACTAAAATGCTGTAGCGCAATCACAAACACAAGTTACATAGCTACATGGGTACACATTTACATACGTATATCCACCCATGCACACCTTCAATGTCCTTTCAACAATGTAGGTTGTACATTTTTGATCAAAGTAGATTAGCTTAACTTGTTAAGGCCTGTAAATGTGTCCCCCGCTTTGCCGAGAATAAAAGTTTATTTATTGGTACGTCAGCGCGGCAGGATTAATTTTCCAAAGTATGGTGGGAAGAAAAGTAATCAGTGTCACCAGAAATGAAAGATTTCGGGATTGAAGTAGCTATATGAATAGGGGTCAGGATGCCGGTTACCCAAGCAAAGAGTACATGGGTGGGAAATGAGCCATCGTAGAGTTTCGGAGGAATTGCTTTGTTCAGCTGACATTTTTGGAGGAATGCATTCATGGCAAAATGTTTGGTAAATATTTAAAAATTAAATACGTAAATCAACTTTTATTCTCGACAATGTGAGATATACCTTGTCAAGCATGATCAACGTTAGCTAAGAAAATGTGCTCAATGATATACATAATACTTATGGTATGACAGTGAATGTGTGTATGGGTGTATGTAAATAAATAAATAAATTAATTAATATACTCGGTAAAAGGAGGCACACCGATGAAGGCACGATCATAAAAGCATACAAGCATCGCTGCGTTAAAATGGTAAAATATTTCGTTTCAATGAAAGGTATAATCGAAAGTTTTGTAGTTCAGTCGGGTGAGCATCTTGTCACCCATTGAATTTTTCACACTTCTATGATTTTCGCACTGATCACCCTACGGGATTTGTCAAGCTTTAGTTTTTATACCCGCATAAATCCATTGTTCCATTGTTCCATTGTCACGCAATAGTCGGACACAGGAACATGGTGGTGCTGGGGCGCGGAAAAGTCAGTATGGACTACTGTGTCAATATTCAGGTTCGGCGTGGTTTCGCCATGTCACTTATTGAATTGCCTCACATTTAAGTGCATGAATTTTTCACAACACTTACGTGAGTGTAGCAAGTAGTAAGACGTTGCATTCATGTGACGGAATGGGAATACCACGCAGATATTGCTGTAAGCTTTATAACCGCTTGGGCGCAAGTAGCTGAGGTAGAAATTTAATTTCATGATTGGATCAGGTTGGTCGCTGAAATGGACTTTGCACGTGCCAGTCAAAGGAAGTTAGCTTAATACTGGTGAGTGTTACAGATTTTACCCTTCCTTTCTTACGCTTCAGCTTGGATATATAGTAAAGCACTAGTAAATGTAAATATGGAGCACGTTGCCACGTCAGTGCGGAAGACGGCTATACCCAAAAGTTCAGAAACAATACCGATGATTACAGGATGATACTATGTTACAAAGGAGTAACATAAACGTTATTAAAAGTTAATGCAAGGGCCCTAGCAACACAAAGTAGCCACAAAGTAAATGCAACCGATTCGAATGTACCGCTGCAGCTGCAGCTGCGCGTGTTTCACGACTTCCAACAACTGCGCTGACTGCTCCTTGGATTTTCAGCGTGATCTTGGTGGCCTACATAACTTACATATATCCCGACCTTTGATGTAGAATTCTGTTGATTAATGCTCTAAGTTCACCATAAAGGCATTTGGTGACCCTGCAACAACATCAATCGGACGATACATCTCTTCGAAGAAAATAAGTTGCAGGCTTAGCGCACCTCTGAGTAACCCAACCGGTTGGAGGTTTTCCGGGAAATTTATGGGTACCTTCAACGGTACTAGGTCGTAGCCATATACCGTCGTCTCCATAGTACAGCACATGCTTAGTACTTGACTGGGAGACGAATGCTAAATAAAAAATGAACGTTTATTCTTAAACTGTGAGGCACACCTTTACAAGTCTATTAAGCTAAGGTACTTTGATGAAAAATATGTAAGATACATGCTTGGCATGACAGTGAATCTGTGCGTTGGTGGATAAACGTATGCAAATATATAGGAAGGCAGCCGTGTAGCCTGTGTCGGTAAACGTACTGCAGCAATTTTGACTGCTTGTAATCGGCAGAAATGGAGAATAAGCGATAGTAATCTATGGATTGAATTAAATTTTCCGGTTATCCACGGTGCACTGACTTTAATTTGTGGCGAGCGGCACTCGCCACGTCGCAGTGTTGATAAATGGAAATATGTGGCTTTTGTAGAGAGTTGTACATGCTACGATACGATCTGGTCCGAGGTCAGATTTGAGCTCTTATGTCACCTATAGTTGCAGATTCCTAGGATGCGTTACCCAAAGACGTAGTATTATCAACTAATATGACATAGTTTAAACGTCGACTCGGTGCCCCCATAGTACAAGTCAGAATCGTACGTTTATGTCCATACGTTCCTGTTATTTGCTCCAGTATTTACTACCATGTAAATGGATTTTGCTAGTTTTTACCGTTTACTTTACACGCTCACTTCGTTGCTAGACTAAACTTAGAATCCTTTTCTTATGGCATTGGTCGGGGCAGCGGGGAATGCAAATGTGGTTCAACTGCGTTTCGCTTAATTTTGCAGAACAACAACCAGCCAACCATACCAATCAATCAATATCAATAAAGCGCTTTGGATAACTCAACTTTACAATCTTCTTCTGTTCCTGCCATCCTTGTATTTAAATTTATCAAGGTGGGTTTTAAAAAGTTCTTTGCACCCGCGACTATCTGAAGAGTATCGTTGTTAACGCTGGAAGAGTAAATTCGACCGGAACCGCGAAACTAAAATTTTGTGGCCGTTGCGCGGTCCGTCCTGTTTGCATGTGTAATGGTTGTATAAATGTTCGTTGTACAAATATTCGTGAGCAGCTGTTTCGGTTTTAAGAACACTGGTTAGAAAGGTCGAAGGATAATTATTGCATTATTTGTTTGGTTTTATTAGGTAAGAAGGATATGCATGACAACGGAGATAGATTAAAAAGAAACATGAACACACGTAAAAAATCTAATGTAATGAACAGGGTTTACAAGACCGACAGACACGCATCAAAAAGCAACTTAATGATTTGTTTGATCATTCCAATAAACAGAGGTGCAATGCAAATAACCAAACTTTTCATTACCTTGTGGCGGTCTACAACTGATTACGTATCAAATCACCTTCAAAATACCCTAATATGTTGTTACATTGATATGTTTCAACACGTTAATGTAAGCGCTTCCACTTCAATGTTATTCGCACTGCGAAACCTACCTCCATAAAATATCAATCAGCTGTTTCCGATTAATCGGCCGCTCACTGTTATCGCTTGATGAGTTTCCGTAGGAGAACCTTTCGGTACCTCCCTGATTTATACCTATTTATTCGTACTTACCGGAAGCTGAGCGTTGACACAATTAATCCTAATGTCGTTCGACTACAGTATGCTGTTCGCGGCCCCTTAGTTCAGAGAGCCCATGAAATTGAGGAAGAGTTGAAAAAGGTGAGCATTTTACAGTTGAATTTGGGGAACCCGCTGTGTCATTGGTTTGCGACACGAACCCCTATTAAGACCTCGGTTTTCCATTAGGTAAATCTCGGTCATTCCAATCGCAAAGATCGTATCCAAAATGGAGCATTTTATATTTCATTACATTTTAGGGTTCGGTGAGAGCATTCAATGATATTATCAAGTGCAATATTGGAGACTGCCAAGCTGCCGGGCAAAACCCCATTTCATTCATTCGGCACGTGCTTTGTGTGGCAGCAAATCCAGTATTGTTCCAGAGCTCATTCATTCCTGATGATGCAAAATCTAGAGCTAAAAGGTTTCTTGACAGCTGCGGAGGTAGTGTTGGTAAGCGCTCTTGTTCTATGGTTTTTACTCGATTTTACCATTTTTGTCTCTATGCCGATTCTTTCCCCAACTGTATAGGAGGTCTTTGGTTAATTGGCTCAGTTGGACTTGATAATGTGCATCTTATCATTGTCAAGTATCCTGTCTTGAACATGTTCAACATATCACTTTGAGAAGGTAGACTGCCATAAGTGTAGCAAGTAGCCTTTAGCGCGATTCCGGATAACAATTCGAAAATAGACCGGGTTACAGGAAAAGAACTTCTATTTGTATGATGAAAGATTCCTTTTTGTCTAGCTATAAAAACGATATCGTTGACGATCTAGCCAAAGGAACGCAGATAGCACCGCACATAAGGCAGTCGCGCATTGCAACCGAAACGAGCGCCAAGCAAATTGTGTGATCACCATGGCTGACACCGTTGAGACGGCCTTGGAGAAATTTAAGTCATACCTCACCGAGATCTCTGCTCCCCACATCCCATTCACTAAGAGACGGGTAACACGGGCGCAGACTCCTTGGATAGATCACACAGGTAAATACCTGTTCAGGAAGCGCTCTAAGTGCTGGCGAACTTACCAAGCGGCTTCATCAACCAGCACCTACGAAAGCTATCAAGCGGTTAGAAATAACTGTAGGCAACATCTTAGAACTCTTCGTCTTCAGTACTAGGAGGATTTGGCTAACGCAGCCGTAACAAATCCAAAGTTCTTTGCTTACGTAAAGAGACGTAGCGGTACAAACTCGTCTATATCGGCTTTATTACAAGCGGATGGGACCCATGGGCATACCAACTATGATAAAGCTTGTTTACTTAGGGAACACTATACTGGTGTCTTTTCTCATGAGGCCTCTACCTCAGGTTGAGCTGGTCACAAAATTTCCAGAGGATTCTAGCCTAACTGAAATCAGCATAACGGAAACACAAGTCTTTGGGCTATTACAAGGGCTAAATCCTTCCAAAGCTTCTGCCTTGATTCAATTCATCCGGAGCTGATGCATGAATTGGCCGCTGAGCTAAGTGGCCCTCTGACATGCATGTTTACAATATCACTCGGCAGCTGTGCCTTCGGAATGGAAGAAGGCAATCATCTGTCCGATTTTCAAGGGAGGGGACAGAGCTTACGTAAAGAGAAGCAGCGATACAAACTTGTCTGCACCCGATTTACTACGAGTGGACGGGACCCGTGGACATACCGACTGTGATAAAGCTTGTATATTTAGCGAACAATATACTGGTGTCTTTTCTCGTGAGGTTGAGCTGGTCACAAAAGTCCCGAAAAACTCTTGCCTAACTTAAATCAGCATAATGTAGACACAAGTCTTCGGGCTATTGTAAGGGCTAAATCCTTCCAAAGCTTTTGGTCCTGATTCAATTCATCCGAAGCTGCTGCATGTATTTCCCGCTAAGCTAGGAGGCCTTCTGACATGTATGCTTACAATATCGTTTGGCAGTTGTGCCTTATCTACGAAATGGAAGGAGGCAGTTACCTATCCGATTTTTAACGACAGTAATAGAGCTCTTCCCGCAAACTATCGGCCTGTCAGCTTAACAAGCGTAGTAGTAATTGTTTGAAAAGTTGGTCAGGGATTCGGTAGAGAATCACCTGATTAAGGTTAACCTTATCAGTGTGGCACAGCACGGATTCCATAAGGGATCAATTGTTCATTTGTTCTCCGAGCTTGGCTGTTTTGTCGCAAACGTTTCACCACCATGCGAGGTGGCATCCTCAGTGCAGTGATATGATTTCACGCCGCATATCACTGCACTGAGGATGCCACTTCGCATGATGGTGATACGTTTGCGACAAAACAGCCAAGCTCGGAGAACAAATGAACAATTGATTCATTTACCCGAACTACCAGTGTTTCGAAACATCCGTAAGGGATTTTCATGTCTGACAAATTTACTTGTAGCTCGTGAAAGCTGGGCTGAGGCAGTAGACAACGGTCACGCCATTGACGTGCTTTTCGTTGACTTCTCGAAAGCCTTTGATACTGTCCCACATCAACGACTTTCATTGAACTTGAGATTGTATGGGATATCTGGAGTTCCCCTTAAATGGGTGTCTGCTTTCCTAGAGGGGAGAGAACAGTGTGTACGCGTGGGGCTTAACCTTTCGCTTAGACAAGCTGTTCTTAGTGGCGTTCCGCAGGGTTCGGTTCTAGGGCTGTTGCCTTTCTCCATTTATTTCAATGACCTACCCCAGGAGCTTGAAGTACCGTCGCTATTGTTTGCTGATGACCTCAAGCTCTGGAATATTGTGGATATCCCTGGTGGCTGTGAGGCACTTCAGAGTGCCTTGGATAGGCTCTGGGATTGGTCAACCTTATGGTTGATGCCTATAAATCAGGCAAAATGTTCTGTCCTCCGCATTGGAGGTGCTAGTCCTCCCACGCGCTATGTGGTTGATGAAAGTGAACTCCGTTGTCATTCAGCAGGTTGACCTAGGTATTACACATACCTCATTGCTTCACTCTGTGGACAATTGGAGGAAGGCTGCTTGTAGAGCGTTCCGGATGATGTGGTTTGTTCGCCGCTCCTTCGGTGTCCTAACATCCAATATCTTTGTGAAGCTGTTCTCAGCTTTTGTGCGACACCACTTAGGGTACTGTATCCAGGCTTGTGCACCTTGTCTTGTAAGGGACAAAATGGAACTTCAGAGAGTTTTGCGAGTGGGTACAAGGTCATTGCAGGGATTACGGGGGCAAACGTATCCCGAACGTTTGCTTAGCTCGGGTATGTACTCAATGCACTACAGCAGAATTAGTGGAGACTTGATCCTCACTTACCGTATTTTAACGGGTAAGATCGGTCCATACTTGTCCTGGCTATTTAGTCCCGCCAACCTGCCTAGTCTCCGACGTCACCCGTTGAAGCCGCACAAACTGCGTTCTATTCGAGTAAGGACGGAAACTCGCTTGTCGCGTCGAGTTATTGAACGTTGGAACTCGCTTCCGGAGCACGTCGTTAAGGAGTCTACGATAGAGGGTTTCGAGCGTCAGATGCTGTTGGGTGGCAGTACCAAACCTTCCACTTCTCCTAACCAACTTGTATCTTCAACTTTCCCTTCGTTATTTTTAAATTTCTTCTCACACCTTGGTATTATCATTATTTTGCTTACATTATTCCTCTTGTTCTCTTAACTTACCCTTCACTCTTTTACCTCACATAAACCGGCCTGGCAGGGACTGCCTTACAAGAATATGTGGGCAGTAATTGGTTGAACTGGGTGTGATACGGTCCTTGTTTTAGGCTTTTCAATATCTCAAGCAGAGCTGTCAATTCCCGATCCGACGATACGCAAAAGAAGCAACATTCACAGGGTTATCCTATCGTTCCGGTCCCAACTGAACTTGAACTTGACGATGCTTAACTCGAACAACCGAACTCAGTAATCAGTTCAACAATGCACATCAGTCGCCTAGGTGTACAATGAAATAATGCTTTTGTTTAGAATTTTACACAAGCAAACCAGACTGCTACATAAGACTAGAAGAAGGCAGCTGTTACAGCGGTACGGATGTCAAGTACGAGCCTATCACACTCACCAGCGTTTTGCTCAAATGCTTAAAAAGCCTATAAGATACCGAATTTGTGAGTCCTTGGTTGTTCATCATTTGAGTGGTTTATTTCCCCCCTTTTGGAGTATTTATGGTCAGTATATTTGCGTAGCTATTTTCGGCAGTCGTGCGACCCCATTTGGCATATTGTATCCAGGCATGTCCACCATGTCTTATCCGAGACTAAATGGACTAGTCCAGGGTGTCACGTGTGGGTACTAGGTTAGTGCAGGGTCTACGAAGACAGAGGGATCCCGAACGCTTGCTTAGCTTGGGGATCTACACAATGCACTCGATTCTCATTTACTGGATTTTGACGGGTAAGATAGACCCGCACTTCTCTGGGTTATTAGTCCCGCTAATTTACCTAATCTCCGCCGTCACCTATTAAAGCTGCACAAACCGTTTAGGGCGGTGATTCGTCTGTCGCGCTTAGTTATAGAGCGCTGGAATTCCTTTTTAGTTCATGTGGTTAGGGAATCTACTATTAGGGGCTTTGTGTGTCAGCTCGATGCTCCTGGCTGGCAACACCCAATCTTTCCTTTTGCCTAGCTGACTTATCTTCAGACTTCACTTTATGAATCGGGTATTTTAATATTCTTGCCCTGTGCTTTTACTGTTCACTGATTCTTACGTCACATGACCGGCCCAGCTGGGACGCCTGGGGCAGGATACGTGAGCATTAATTGGTTGAATAGGGTGTGGTACGGTCTTTGCTTTAAGTCCTTCTGTATTTCAGAATTCTTCGTCAACTCCTCGTTCGACGACCCGCGGAACAAGCAGCACTCACCGGATAATCCTATCTTTTTAGTTCCTCTTGAACGTGATTGGAGCGGAGCGGCACGGCTTCTTCAATCAGTCATTACTCACCACAAATGTGCTTTTTGGATGAGAACCCGCTGTTTTGATGATGGGATTTCAGTAGAAGTTTGTTCTCAAGATTTAAGTAAGGCTTTTGACTTCACTAACCATTGTTTCTTGCTGGAAAAGCTGACATGTTTTAGGAAGCTTTCTCAACTATTGAACTGGCTAGTAGAATTTCTTTACAGAAGCACCATCTAAGTTTGAATTAATGACTTCAGCTCAAGTGCAGGAGACTGGACCTTAACGTGGTGCGACGGTTTGCGTACCTCATTGACCCATTGAGCTATACTGAGTGATGCCTCCGAGCATCTTGAGAGCTACTCCTACCAGGTTGGTCATTGGTGAGAGGTCAGACAAACTCAGTCTCCTGGTCCTCCAGGTTGGGGGTTTGAAATGGGATGGCGTCCATTTCTGTAAAACTAAATCACTGCCACCCCGCTGCCTTGCGGACAGGCTTTTGAGCCAAAGGCTTTGGATGAGGACCCTAATCGTTCTCCTGTCTAGGTCTGGGCGCCCTGGCAGTATCCCATCCCACATACAACCATGACATTTTCTTCAAACATAAACTTCAT